CCACTGTATTCTGTTCTGAATTTAATTCTCTTAGATTACTAAGAATGACCTGTGACAGAATAGCACATAGTGTGTGGGGTAGGTGGGTGGGTGAGTGAGATGCTTGACCAAAAAAAGCCAATGATTCTTAATGATTGAGAATATGCTTGTTAACAGGAGCAGGATCTTATCTTCTGTCGAAGTGTGACTGATCAGAGCTAGGGTTTTGATTCATTCATTCAATCAATCATTTGGTAACTCCTTCTTCCATTCAATTCAATGTGGTGCACTTGATTATTTCTCCTCTCCACTTTCCTGTGCAGTAAGTTTGACAGAGAGAGGCAGCTAGCCCAGGGCTGTCTAGTGACTTTTAAGGCTTGGTGTGGATTTAAAGCTAGATTGGCTAAAATGAGGTAGACTGGAAATAGCAGTCTAGAGTTGGATGCTGGGCCCGCATTTTAACTGCTTGCTGCAGGATTCCACTGAAATAAATGCAAGTCTTGTGGAGAGAAATAAAATCTTAAATTGCTGCCATGTGGACTGACTAGGCAAAGACACATCCTGTCTTCATACAGCAATCCCTCCTTCTTTCTTTCCTTTTCTGACTCCAGAAGATGTGATTGAGTTAAAGCTTTAAACCGATTGAAGCAGGTTGTGTTATCTTGTTAGATGGTAACATTTGTGCAGAATGTTTTTGCATAAATTTTGGACCATCAAGACAATGATGCTAGTCAAATAATGGCTTTAGGAGCTCCTACATGATTGAAACATCCCTATATTTTCCTGATCCCAGACGCCTTGGCTTAGCAGAAGCAGGATACTCTCCCACCTCCAGATCAGACCACTTCCAGGTCTCTCATTCCTGTCTTCTTAGCAGAGGAACTGCCTGTTTTCCCCTCGGAGAGAAAGAAATGAGGGAAGTAGAAGCATTTCAAATATGCAGCAAGACATACTTTACTTCACCTCAGCTGAGCTGTAGAGTTCACGAAGGGGGTGAGGTTAGGCAGGGTCTGAGTAAATGCCTTTCTTTGTGGGTGAAGGTCTAACTGTCTTCCTGTCAATCTCTCTCTCTCTCTCTCTCTCTCTCTCTCTCTATCTATCTATCTATCTATCTATCTATCTATCTATCTATCTATCTATCTATCTATCTATCTATCTATCTATCTATCTATCTATCTGAATTCACACTTTCACCCTTGGTTCTGCCTGTCCTGCCTGGCTCTACCAACCATTGGCAGAATGCCTTCTGCCCCACCAGCCAACAATAAGCAGCAGCCACCACTGAGCAAACCAAGTCCCTGTTGGGTTCTGTACATGGGTGGCGTGTTATATTTGACTCCATTTGGCAAGCCGAGCGGGGAATATACTGTACTGGAACAGCTGTGAAACAATCCTCTACAAATGTCTATGCCCATTATGTAATATTGTTAAATTACATGCTAAGAAAAACTGGAGGGAGGGGCTGGTTTTGATCAGCACCAGCCAAAAGAAGATGCAGTATTGATTTGAGCAATGTTAAATATGAATGGGTTATGTTCTAAATATGATGGAGGCAGTGATTTCTGAACTTTCCATCAACTAGTACTTTGTTCATATCCTTTAAGAAGATAATTACAATGACATCAGCTTTTAGTCCTTTTTTTAAAAAAAAATTAAATAAGACATAGCATTAAGACTTCCAGGAACTGGGTATTTCAGCACCACGTCAGCATAACTTAGCACAATCACAGTGGTGAATAAGTAATGCTGTCTATTGATTTCAGAGCAGGCGTGATTGCCAAAACTAAATTGAATTTGAAATTGAAAATAAGTGTTCTGTTAAACATTTCCACACCTTAAAGATTAACATTAACAGACAGAGAGAAATGTGTCTGTTGTGATATAAGTGTTCATTGATAGTGGGCTTATTCAGTTTTAATTGAGGGAGTAAATGAGCACAATCAAATAGCACATTTTTACCTTGGTCTTCAAAATCAGCAACCTTTGGCACAGAATCAAGGATAAGTTATTATTGGCTTTTACCGCACTTCATCTCTGAACTACAGTGGACTTAAATGACTAATATCCCACAACTATTTCAAGAGTTGTTTTCACCTCCAGTGATAATCAAAATGTAATGTTTTCTTTCCATTCCTTTGTTTTTAATATGGCAGCATGGGCATACTGTCAGTCTTTCAGAGTCTTTCTTATTTAGAGATATAAAAGAAATTCAAGACATTCTAGGAACCTTGTAACTATGTGCAAGGGTTCTTGGTGCTGGTTTTGGTGATGGAAGAGTGGAGGAAGAGCCCAAGCTGTGTGTGCTCTTTTAAGCCATCAGGCAGATGAAGCCAAAAGAGAGAAGGGGAAAGCAAGAGAAGCCCCTCTAGGAAATAGCTAAGTGGCAAGTTGCAGAGCCAGAGTGGGGTGGATCAACCCAAGCAAAAGAAAGTATCAGAGGAGAAAAGTACTCTACACATAGGCATAAGATGGTATACAGCAAGGATGCAGGTATGTGTGCCTCTCCACAACGTATCAAGACTACATCACCTCCCACTACTGACCATCATGACTAATGCTAATTGGAACTGTATCACAGTTATATCTAGCGAAATAAATACTATATTCCCCATCCTCAGGTATGCACAATTCCTGTTCCATTCATTGGAAGGAACAGCTTACTACATGCAGAGGGATGGGTGCAAAGCTGCCGCCGCCTCTGAATGCAAGAAGCAGCCCACTTGTATTGCAACATGATTATGGACATAGAAACATGTACAAGGTTATGGTTGCATCAGATAAAATCTCAGTGGCTTTCATGGACTAAAGGAAAGAAAACGCCATCACCCTTCAGTTTCTATAGCTTACACATAGCAATTGAAGATTATTAGACTCCCCTTTCTGTATATGTGTGTTAACTGTTGGCTTGGTCGTGGCAACAAACTTGCTGCCTCCACTTCTCTACTTAGCACACTTGTCCCTAAGACATATGAGGAAAACAAACTCTCATGTATCTCCTTTCTTCTTAGTCCATTTTAAGTCATCACAGTTCTGTCTCATGCCAGTAGCATCAAGTACAGAAGATTGCAGGCAGTGGTTTGGGACACATCTAAACCAAGACAGCAATATTGTTATGCTGATAGACACAGACATCCGCGGTCAGGTGACTAGAGTAGTAGGAAGTTCTAGAACCCTTTCTGATGTTATTCCTATTTCTGCATGGTGCAATGTGGGGTATATGTACACACACATAGCCATGTTGTGTGAGCTTTACCACATAGAAAGGAAAGCAATTGGGACTTAATATTGCTTCCATATGTTAGAAATATAATAGGCTTTTCTGTAACTTGAATAGTTATTCAGTGAACTCAACATCTCTACAGCTTGTCATTCATTGAAACTGGATGTATTGTACATGCAGTATTTTCAGTAGGAGTAAGAACACCTGGCTTTCTGTATATTTGGACTTTCATCTCCTGGACAATCCAGGCAGCATGGCTAATAGTAAGAGATTGTGGAAGTTGTAGCTGAAATATCTAGAGCAGTGGTTCCCAACCTCAAATAACCCAAGTATTCTTGGGCTGCAAATCCCAAAAAATTCCAGCAAGCACAGCTAGTGGTGAAGGCTTCTGGGAGTTGCAGTCCAAGAATGACTGGGTTACCCAAGGTTAGAAACCACTGATCTAGAGAGGGCTAAACATTTCTCCCTCCAGTCTATAGACATACAGTTGCTCTTTCAAGTTTTTTTTTGGGGGGGGGGAATCACAAAGCTTTGACGATAAATTGTAATCACATATTTAATTTTCCCACATATAAGATGGTTTTATCAAAGTTTGAGGTATTTCATGATAGAAATGAACAAATAGGCATTTTGATTAAGCTGCAGCTAGAGGTAGGTGGTGGTTATGTCTAATGAGAACAAAACAAATATATGCTTCAAGGCTGTTTCTGTGAAATTATGACATTACGAAATAACATGTTTTTTACTTTTGAAGCCTGATTTCTGCAAATGATGGATTTCATCTTTATGTAGAGGAGGAAAGACACCATTTACTCTATAATATTTAAGTAGCTCATTCATCTCCTCTTTTTTAGATTAAAATTACAGGTCCCCAAATTGTAAGTTTTGATTTTGTTTTCTCTTGATTGCTGCCTTTGGCTCCTTAGTAAATGCCATTGGCAGCCTTGTAGGTAATGGTGACAAAGCCTGCAGGCCTGAATATATTAAGTATATGACACCATTCCACAAAAAATGACAGAATTTGCCCACAATTTGGAAAAAAAAACCCTTTTGTACAATTTTCTAAGAAACCCATTCCTTTTTGTACAAATCCCATGAACTGGTCTTGTACAAAACCTGCTCCCCCAAATTGCAATATGCAACTTGGTACTTTTTAAGTTGTTTATTTTCTTTTGTTTAGCCAGATATAGGACATAGCTCATATATCAACCTTGGGGAGTATTGGATTTCATTACATTTTGATCTATATATTTTATTGACATAGACTGCTAAAAAATAAACATCTTATACCATATACACTTACAGAGATAATGTTTATGTTTGGATTGAGGGAGCTGTGATGGATTAAGAGTTTGCAATGGGTTCATTTCCACAAACTCAGTTAAAATAACTATATAATCATTATTTCTGTTTAGTTTGAGATTCATTTTCATAATTTACCACGGGATTTGTCTGCATACATTTTGATAGTTAATGGCCCTCAATTGATTGAAGCGCCTTTTCATGAAATTGCACATACAAAATAGAAAATTGCTTGATAATGAGACAGCAGTAAAATCCAATTGTACCAATATATGTGTGTATATATGTGTGTGTGTGTGTGAAACAACTGTGTAAAATGTCATCTTTTGCTTTAAAATAAGCCATAGCTACAACATTGAGGCAGTAGCTTTACCACTGCTTTGTATCACATACTGTTCTAAATGTCTCTTGTATACAGTTGTTTCTGTGAACTCAAACACTGCATACACACAAAATCTGTAAAGATGCAAGATTAAATTTCTCATTGCCGCTTTTGCAGATAACAGCCCGTCGACAATGGAAACATATTTATGATGAATTAGGTGGTAACCCTGGAAGCACAAGTGCAGCTACATGTACTCGTAGACATTATGAAAGGTAAGATAACAAATATGAGATGTTTATTTAATAAAGGAGAGAAATTAATTTGGAGGGCCTTCAAAGCCTTTTGTAAAGATTTGGGAGCAGTGGGGAAGTGAGAAGGCCTGTTTCAAAGGCGCTGTAAATATTCCATTACCAGTTTAGACCTATAATATTCTGTAATTGTAAACCTGTGTGTGTGTATGCCTCCAGCAGCAAAGGAAATAGGCAAGCCTCTGATTCATTTCTCCTTCGTACTTCCATTTTACCAAAGCTTTTCTAGTGTAGAAGCTGTGGCAAATGAGGAAAAACAGTATGCTTCTTTGAGAATAGAAAAATGGAAGGTAACTGGTTGGGCTGTTTGTTGTGTTTTAAAATCCTTCTGCAAATAAAACAATGTCAAGGCATCCTCAGATTAATGAAATGTTCCCATTATAAGTAAGGCGGGTGGAGAACCCGTTTTTTTTCCTTGTATTGTTTCAGCAATCTCTCTTCTCCTCTTTTTCCTGCAGCTGACAACCATCTATCTTTCTAAAGTGCAACAGGCATGCTGTTTTATAAGCATTGATTTTTGTACCCAGAGTTAATAATAGTTTCCAAAGCTTGAGTATCCAGCGTACATCAGATAACATGATATGGCTGTGATGCTTCCTTAAAAGAATTTGGTGAAAATATGGCCATTAATAAAATATGTGTGCTTTCAGGCTCTGAAAACGAGCAATATGATCTCATGCTCCAGATCACTAACTAGTTGCCTGTAGGGGCCAAGGAAGTGTTTGTTTATCGCCATCTTACATAGTTGCATGGGTTTTTTTTTTTACATACAAAGGACATATGTGCCTTTCTTAAAGTGTTTGCTCTCAGCCACACTGAGAGAAACAAGCTAACAAATTACTTAAGAGGAAAAGTTGTAACTTTACATTTCAGAGTGTTAATCTGATTTGTATAGCTGATAGATGTGTGGATGGAGAGATAAGCCAGTTTTATGTCATGTTCCAGCATAGCTAAGAAATGAGGGTTAGAGTGGAATGGTATGGAGGTACTTTTCAGGGTCAGAGTGCACAATTGCTGGATAGCTCAGTGGTTTAGATATCTGGCTACAGAGCTAGAGTTTGGTTTCCACCCTGTGCTTCCTTGTCAGGGACTAGTACTCAGTGATCCGTAGGGTCCCTTCCAGCTCTGCAGTTCTAAGACTATTATTGCCATTGTTTGGTAAGCATGCTTTCTTTAAAAACTAGCCACTTAATTTAAAACAAAACAATTGACGTACCTTTATGAGAAAATGGTAGCAAAAGGTGTTTTGGGCAAAACACCAGTACAGAGAGGAAATAGTTCAAATGCCCTTTGTCTTTGCCTACCGTGCTCCTAATTTGATTAGAACCTCTTGTGGCTGCTGCTGCTTCTATAAGAAATAAAGTGATTAGTGAATCCCATTTTATTGAAAAATGTGCCTGGGCCCTCAGTGCTCATTAGCTGTTGCATTTGGTAGAAAGGGAGTAAAATGTTCATTGGTCTGAATATTCTAGGCTTCCCTCTGTCCCCATAGTAGGCAATTAGTGAGGCATAAGATTTCCCCCACTGAGCTAAAATGCCATTGTGTGGCAGCCATATTTGAAAATCTTTCTCTGCACTTTAAAGAGTCAGTGAAGGCTGATGGAATTTATTCATTCTTGCTTGCTTGTTTTTGAATGAACAAATAGGTGCCTCCTTGAGGATTACATTTGGTTAAAATCAGCTTGAGGATTACATTTGGTTAAAATCAACCCAAACCAAACCTGATGAACAGATGTGCAGAACAGAATAGATTATGGATTTTTCAGTTCTTTGAATGTTGTGATGCAGTTTTCAGCTGAGATGCAAAGTCTGAATGCGCATAAAAATGCTTATTTTAGGATTAAAATTGTTCAGAAAGGTATACCTTAAGAGAAAATACATTCTGAAGCAAGTGTTTTGAGAGAAAATAATGACTTTAAATAATAATTTATTCTTTGGTTTTGTGGAAATTAAAATAATTCACAGTTTAATGCAGAAATGGGACAGAATGAATTCAAGAAAGAGCCCATGTGACACTGACAAGATCTAGAAAGAGAATGATCTTTCCATCTCCCAAGTTTTCTGCGTTGGAAAATCCGTCTCTCTTTTTTTTTGCATTTTATGGTTCTTTGATGCCACTCATGTTTCTGCTTACCTACAGGAGCCATCCTGCCATTTTACCAGGTTTTCCTAAGGGGATGGCAATACAAGCTGTAGTTTGCCACCTTCTTTAACAACACAGGGTGGAATTTGTAGATGATACTGTGTTTAAATTTTGAAAGGAAAAATATGAAACAAATTGTTACTCTTTTCTTCTTAACTAGGTACAACCCTTGGCTTGAAAGTAGCTGGGTGTTTTCAGTAAGCTTTCCCTGATGTCACCAGATGGCATTTTGCAAATGTTGTAGTGTTTAATCAATTTGGGGAGCTCCCTTCTTAAGCTTTAGAAAAATAATGAAATTTTATTGAACAAAATTGACAGATGTCTTACCTAACAATCATTGGCATTGAAACAAGTGCTAGCAATAGATTAGTAGTTAACATAAATCTCTGAACATTCAAGGCACCGGTTGCTAATCAGTTGAACTAAGAAGGAAAGTTGACTCACGCATGTTTCCCTGTACATTGAGCCTCATACTTCTTCTCTGTTGCCTTTAAAATGGATCATGAGTATCAGGACTAGAAATATCTTCTGCAGAATTGGTTTTAGCAAGTAAAAACATTGAAAATGATCATATAAAAATGACAGCATTGGGCTACAGTGAAGCTTCTTTAATCTAGCAATCTCCATATGTGTGAAACAACAGCGCCCCACCCCACCCATCCAAGTAGTCTCTCCAAAACTGCCAAGGAATGGAGGGGGAGTGACCAGCAGTCAGACACATCAGTGGATCTCCAGCATGGGGAAGCCTGGATGTGGACAATTTGATGACAAAAAAGTTTTTCTCCCTGCTAGCAAGCTTTTAAATAATTCTAAAATTTCCAAATTGTTAAAACCCCTTGAATTATTGAGGCAGTGCTCTCCACCTCTGATAAAAAAGGAATGGTGACATAGGATTTGTAAGCACTATTGACATGTTCATTTTCTTTATTGTAGATGGCACATTTCCACTAAGCATTTTCATTTTTAAAACAAGGCAGTGTTGCCGGTGGTTTTGCTAAGTGTTATTTTGGATATGCATTATAGGCTTTCTTTTCCCTTTTTAATGAGCACAATAATGTGAGCCCAGGTTGCTTTGAGTTGAATCAATGTATGCTTTTATTTAAAGTGTGGCAGCAATCGTATAATGTCCATGAATGCATTATTGTCGCTGTAGGGCTGACTGGTCTGAACCTGCCTCTCTGATTGGTTTAAATGAAATCAGTCCAAGCACTTCATAAAAATGTCTTTGTCAGACCAGTTTTGCTTTCAAACCTATTCATCTCTGTCAGTTTTTAATATTAGTACCAGGCTCTTGGCCATAGTCCATTAGTACTGTACTTAATTGCTCATGTTACAGATGATTACGAATATAAAAAGCATTAATGTTTTCCCATTGTGGAGCTGTTGCTATGTGCATGACTCAACACATGCAAAGTGTACAAATTGTTATTTTGGTCATGAGGCTTTAATTCTTCACTATAATTACCTTGGGTGATTGCATAAAGTAAAAACAGTCTGTGACTGCTTTATGGAGACAAAGTGAGTTTAATGGGGCCCCCAAACATTTGCACTTCTGTAATTCTTAACACCACCCTGTCAGGATCTTACATTTCTTATCTTGTATCGTCATCAACATAGAAAGCATTGGAAATGGTTGATTTTCTTGTTGAGCACTGATCTTCACAGTCATGTTTTGGAGAAAATTATGTAAAATCAGATGTTGTTTTTGCTCAGGAACTTTTTCCTCTTCTGTATGTACAAAATATTTCAGTTATTACCTGCATAGGAGCAGAGTTCTGTAAACAAGTAGGATACTGTAATTTTTGTCAGGGATTTTAAAACAGAAACTACACAAAAGAGATTATAAGGAAATTTTTTTGATGTTGTGGAGAGCTCAGGTTTCCTAAACAAAATGTAATTAAAAAGGAAGCAGTCTCCACTTTGAGGTCATGTGCCCTTCTATAAATTGTCTGTGAAGAGGCCTTTTTTCCCCTTCACTGGTTGTTCATACACTTTTAAAGAAGTAAATCTGAGCAGTTGTAATGCTGCTTGACACAGTGTATTAAGATTTATTTCTGGCTATGCCGAAGCAATCATTTAGGAATGTTGTTAAATCTCTCTCTCTCTCACTCACTCACTCTCTCACACACACACATACACACAACTATAATCACAGTCATAGTCATAGTTATAATTAGTTACATTACTAGATATCCTCCTTTCCCTAATCCTGAAGTAATTACACTGTGTGAATGGATATCCCAGTCTGCTGAGGATCATGGCTGCAAAGACCCCTCCTCAGTCTCAGGCTGGTTAGGTTATTTAAAGTAAAAATTCCCCACAGTCTTCTACGTACTTTTAAAGTTAAACATGCAGCTCACCAGTGCATCCTTGGGTTTTATTTGGTTTAGCCTTAAGGAGGAGGAGGTTCTTGACTGGGAGTGCAGCCTATGGGCTCTTTTAACTCTTTTCTCACTGAGCTGCAGTCCCAATGAACATTTTAGTCACCCATTCCACCAAGCTGCTAATTGGTACCAAGGGAAAGCTGCTGCTGTTGTCAGTGCTAGCTTCCTTTGAATGCAAAATATCATTTATGGGGTGTATTGGGCTATGGCACTGGTTCTTAACCTTGGGTTACTCAGGAGTTTTGGACTGCAACTCCCAGAAGCCTTCACCACCAACTGTGCTGGCTGGGGTTTCTGGGAGTTGCAGTTCAAAAACATCCAAGTAACAAAGGTTAAGAACCACTGGGCTATGGTATAAGTGAAAGGGTTAGATCACTCCTCCATTTACTGCAGTCTCAGTGATGCCCCCCCCCAAGCTGTTATTTAATGTTGAAGAA